GAGAAGCCAGAACTGCCACTTGAGAAGTTCTGGGTTGAACGTATTTACAGACAAATGGTTGTTTTTGTATCTTAAATGCAAAATGAACGTATTTTGCACAGTTTTGGCTCAACTATTGCATTAAATGTGTTGTTCTTTCAGTAAATGGACTTTTGTTTAGTCTGTATGCTAACATTAGTTGACAATTATTTCAATAACTGATTAATCGTTTCAGCCCCACTGGTCTGATACATCCGTACAGTAGCCAAACATCCTCTTTGTTCACCAAATAAGACATTTCTGTTGCATCTTCTTGATTCACTTGGACTGAATCACCTTATCAGAGTTGAAGCTCCAACTACTTTGTGCTGCACCTTGATTTGAATAATATTTTCATCCATCAGGCACAACGACAACAAGACTTTCCTGGTCTGGGTGAACGAGGAGGACCACCTGCGCGTCATCTCCATGCAGAAGGGAGGCAACATGAAGGAGGTCTTCAAACGTTTCTGCGTTGGCCTGCAGAAGGTGAAACTCATAAACCTCAGAGCTGCTGAAAAGCAGACACATTACAGATCCAACTGACTTCTTAAAATACGGCAGATTTGCTGCAGCAGTCAGACTTCTATTGTACTGATGAAGTGAAAGTCCTTAAAGTGGTTTTCATCTAGGCTTTCTGGAGTTTTAATTGGACTTTGGACATTTTTTAATACATATATTTGATATTTATGTAGATATAAATGCATTTATTGACAACAGAAAAACATTTCCCCTGGTAAACAATGTATCTAATATAAAAAATATAAAAAAGTTACACCTAGACCAGAAACTGCCAGCCGAATAACCTCCACAGATTGCTAATCCCGAATTAGCTGCCTTACAGTCCCAGACTGTTTTACAAAATATCTCTGCAGAGGGAGAAATTACACATCAGGCTGCATGAAAAATACAAAAAAAGTCTTGTTATATTTACAGGAATTACAGCATATATATGTGGAGAGGCACAAACACTTGTCCCTCCTTTTCTCAAATGGAGGATTTATTATTTGGTATCAAATCATAAACATCTGAATATCAGAACATTTCACACAGCATTACTTTAACATTAAAGCAATTCAGCTTGAATGTAAACAATCTGCTTTTTCTGTCATTTATAAAATAATGAACATAATATATGGAAGAAGTCCAACAGACCAACTATAATTAAAGTTAAATATTTAGTTAGGGAGCTAAAGAAATAATTATTTAATTTCAAATATTTATTCTTAAATATTTAATTTAAAAATAAATATTTAGCTTTCAAACTATACATTAGTTCAGTACTAAATGTCATTTTCAGACTAAATATTTAGTTTGATAACTAAGCATTTAATTCACCAAATTACATATTTAGTTTGGAACTCTGACATTTATAAATATATGAATAAAATGGTGAAAATATGACTGAGAAATGAACAGCCACATTTTTTCAGGCTAAATAAACCAAATTATTGATGTCAAGTTTTTACTGTGTAACTTTACAAACGGCACCACGTGTTGTCAGGCACTGGACCGATGGAAAGCAGCCGGAAAATACTGAAAACTCCTAAAACTGTTAACCAACACCACTTAAAATGGACGCTGTGCTTGGAGGCAAAGTGAACATATTTTATGGATTAATAGAAATTAAACAAGCTGTATATATTTCGGTAGTAATCAAGCCTTACTCCGGTGTCTCTTCATGTTGGTCAGATTGAGGAGATCTTCAAGAAGCACAACCACGGCTTCATGTGGAACGAGCATCTGGGCTACATCCTGACCTGCCCCTCCAACCTGGGCACCGGCCTGCGCGGCGGCGTGCACGTCAAGCTGCCCAAGCTCAGCACGCACCCCAAGTTCGAGGAGATCCTGACCAGGCTGCGTCTGCAGAAACGCGGCACAGGTACGTACGGGAACCGCTTCCTTTACTCTGCGGGGCGGAAGAACAGGTGTTACACCCAGAGGCGGGTAGTAAGGAGTAGCTATTTTGGATGGGAAAAAAAAGTACTTTTATTAGCATCTCTACTTTGCTGTGCTTTTTACTTTTACTTGAGTAATTTTATTATGACGTATTTCTGCTCGTGGGTACTCTGCCCACCTCTGGTGACGTCATATTCTATGACCGCTGTATATTCTGGCCGTAGGAGGCGCTGTTGTGCTTTTTCTATACACTTTGGCACATTTTAGAGTCGAAGAAGAGTATTTTACTCCAAAAACCGTAGGGAGGAAAACAAATGCAGCACAAAAATAAAGAAAAATACACGGACTCCAGTTGTCTTACTGTAATGCCCATAACTATTTTAACTTTGATTGTCTCTTAATTTTGTGTCTTTTTATGTACTTAATGTATCATTAATTGTCCATTGGGCTTTTAAACCTGAAGTTGAACAAATAATAAAAAGTGACTTCTGACCACTAATATGTCTGTTGTGGAAATACAGATGGTCCCAGAATATATTCATATATTGTAGCCATATATAGTAAAATACTAAATATTTAAGCTAAGCTGCTTCTGCCGATTGTCTTCTTCCTCTTCAAAACAAAAAGTTACTTCTGACAACTACGATTCCCTGTCAACATGTTTTATTAACTTTATATTCTAACACAGTATTTAAAAGTAGTTCAACCTCACCATCTATCCACACAAAAACTTCCTGGTGCCATGTTTAATTTAGGAATTAAACATGAAGGATTGTGATCGGCTGACGTAGACTTTCGCTTTGCGCTACACTGCCCCCTATGGGCTTGGCATGTTTAAAGCAACGCTCAGTGCTGTAATTCAGCAGCTTGAACACTTACCAATCAGGTGTGGAAAATATTGTTTTATATGTACACACCTTATTGTTTTCACCCAGAAATTTCACGTATGTGCACAAGACTGGAGGACAGAAAGACGATTGTTTTACTTACCAACAGAAACATTCTGATAATCAAACCTGGAGATTTAGGTATTATTAATTCAGTGCAGTGTACTACAGCAAATGGGGAAATAACACAGAAAAACCATTTAATATTCTTATTGTCTTGCTCTCTGTGTCAGCTACGCTACACACAGACCCGTTGCCACAGCAACTGACAACAACACCACTAATGTACCAGGATTCAACACCAAAACACAAGAATTGAACATTCAGTCTGTTACAGTTTTATGTTTTTGGGCTTGATGTGTATTTTGCAGTCGTTAATAAGTGATGGCTGTGGTAAATTAGCCGTCACTGCTATTAGCTAAGCTAACACAGCGGTGGTTGATTAGCTAATGTAAACACCTGATCTACTGATGATCTATCACAAATGGTGGGTGGGTCGCCTTTTTTAAAAAAAAAAAAAAAAAATTAACTGAAGCACTGGATTCTGCAGCACATCTACATGTTAAGATGGTCAAAGTCAAGCTAGCATAGCTACTTCCCTCTTCTTTGCAGTGTTTTGGATTAAAACTGTGTCCTGACCTTATGTAGTTGTCCTAGTGTTGACAATTAGTAGCACATATTTAAGATTCAGAGCGTTAACAACTTGAGAGCTAAAACCAATGCTAGTAATTGTTGATGAGTTTTTGCTCTCCAGCATGTGGTTAAAAGGACTCGGCGATGTTTGGACTAGGCCTCATTCTTCCGTTTGCTCCGCCAGGCGGTGTGGACACAGCCTCAGTGGGCGGCGTGTTCGACATCTCCAACGCCGACCGTCTGGGCTCCTCCGAGGTGGAGCAGGTGCAGCTGGTGGTCGACGGCGTGAAGCTCATGGTGGAGATGGAGAAGAAGCTGGAGAAGGGCGAGTCCATCGACGGCATGATCCCCGCTCAGAAGTAAAGCGGACAGACAAGGAATTTGATGAAATGACTGTCTGTGGTTTTTTTTTTTCTATTTTCTAAAGAAAAAAAATGAACATGTAGCCTCGTTGTAAAGTTATTTTACTGGTTTCGGCCAAATGGCTACTTCCTGCTGATGGCTTCCTTCCATCCAAAGACACTCCACTTTTCCTTCTGCTCCTTTCTTTCTTACTTCTGTTTACTTTTTCTGCCTTTTCTCCCTATTCATCTAATTTCTTCTGATATCTTCCCATCGCCTTCGTAACATCCTGGGATCAACCTATGCATAGTCTGGTCGTGGCTATGTGTGTAAAAAGTTTTTTTTTTGGTTGTAAAATGTAACTGGAGAATTAAACAAAGCCCCATGTAACAATCAATTCATCCTGTTTTTGTTTTTCTTCATAGAAACCAAAGGTACAGTTGAAATCTGTGTATACCTGCTGTAAGAACAGACATCACCTTTTCTCAACCCATTGTCTGACGAAAGTAACTAAAATTCTCCTGTTTTTAGGTCAAGGCGCTTTAGCATTACGTTCTGCTAAATACCATGTTGGTGTAGCACTTTAGTTCAACTTCCATTAAATACCATGTTGGTAAAATGCTTTAGCTTTAGCTCCTGCTAAATACTGTGCCGGTATAGTGCCTTAGCATTACCTTCCACAAAATAGTGCATTGGTGTAGAACTTTAGCTTCCACTAAATATTGTGTTGGTATAGCGCGTTAGCATTAGTTTCCATGAAATATCTTGTTGGCAAAGGGCTTTCAAGTTAGCTTCCACTACATACCATGTTGGGATAGCGCATTAGCTCCTGCTAAATACCGTGTTAGCATAGTATTTTAGCATTAGCTTCCACTAAATGCCATTTTGGTATAGCATTTTATAAAACCTTGTTGGTATATTAGTTAGCATTAGCTTCTGCTAAATGCCATGTTAAAGAGCTTTAGTGTTAGCAAAACTGCTTACATTATGTGTAAGCTACAATAATGAACCAGACTTGTGGAGTTCTGTCATTCTTTTCCTGGTATGTTGGCTAATTTAATTTAGATTTTATAATCAGGTACTACGTTAAAATATACTCTCTAGTCCGTCTTTGTATGATTTCCCAAATTATTATTTATTCTGATTTAATGTTACACGTGGAGAAAAACAAAGTTTATGGATCTTCTCCAAATATGCATAAAAAGGAAAGAATAAAAAATATCAGAGGTTGAAGGTTTTTATTTTGTGTCACACATTATATCCTAGGAGACATGCAGGACTGCAAGTCGGTCGTTTCTGGTGTCTCAGCCGGCGGTACGTTGGATTTAAGTAATCAGTGGTCTTGAAGCATGGATTAGTCTGAGAACATTTTGGGGCGATGAGGCAGAGCAGTAAACAAACAGAAAGTCGAACAAATAGCCTCTAAATCACAGCTTGACATTTTCAGACACTGAGGGACACCAGAAATCAGAGAAACTCCACAAACATTGGTAGATTTTCTTAGAGATGAGCAATAAAGAACCTAAAATAAAACAAAATGGAGAATGTTTTATACCTGTTACATCAAAGTGATGCCAGAGATTTGGATGTTTGAGCTTGGCATTTTGAATCAGGAATCTGATTGGTTAACAGTCTGTAACTTTAATCCACTGGGGGAACAGTCATACCAGCAGTGCTGGGAAAATCTACAGCTTTTATGGAAAAGAATCAAGAAACAGCTTAGATTTACAACTCTTGGCAAAAATTATGGAAGCACTTCTCATGGAGGATGTCTAATAATCGATCTAAAAAAAAAAAACAAGCATGTTTGTAACCTGAAAAACCACGAATGACCTTAATATAATTAATAGAAAATGGTTTAATTTCCCCAGAGAGAAAAAAACTGAGTAGATCAAGAAAAACCATTAATTATAACCAACTGTTGTACACAGAGGTGGGTAGTAACTCCATAAATTTACATTTAATTTGGGTAACTTTTTTGGGGAAAAAATACTTTGAAGAGTAGTTTTACTGTACCGTAATTTTTGTTTTTTTACTTGAGTGATATTAGTTTGGGTAAAATTTGGAGTAGCAATTTAGCATTAGCTTCCACTGCATGTTAGTATAGCTATTTAGTCTTAGCTAAATAACATGTAGGTATAGCACTTTACTTAGTGGAAGCTAACACATTAGCATTAGCTTACACTAAATAAAATGTTGGCTACACTAACTATAATGTTAGCTTCCGCTAAATAACATGTTAGCATAGCTATTTGGTGTTAGTTTCTACTCCATAGCATGTTGGTGTAGAGCCTTAGAGTTAATTTCCACTAAAAATATGTTGGTGTAGCTCTTGAGCATTAGCTTCCAATAAGTATGTTAGTATAGCATGTTAACATTAGCTTCCACTAAATAGCATGTTAGTTTAGTGCTCTAGCATTAGCTGGCACTAAATATTGGAATAGTTTTAGTTGAAATAATGTTTCTGATTAGTGCTTTAGTGTTAGCGCAGCTAGCTTTTCAGCTAGCAGAGCTCGCCACTATTAAGCTTTTACCCCAAATACGTTTTACTCTTGAATAAAATACGTTACAGTAATACCCCTGTTACTCGAGTACAATTTTTGTGTACTCTGCCCACCTCTGGTCATATCAGATGTTTTTCATTACATTGCAAAACATTCTCAATGTGTCATGATTCAACATTTTTGCCAGGAGTCATTGTTGTTCAGTACACTGAAAACCTGAAAGAAAATGTACTCAATCTGTTTAAAGATTCCAGAAATCTTAAAACTTAACCAGGTGACGTCCAGTTGGGTCTAAATCATGCGATCCTTGGCTTTGTGGCGGTTTTCTTCCCTAAACATCAACGATCAGACAGTCTGGACACTGAACAAAGTGAGGGAAGCACCAACTACTCTATTTTGCTCTGAGCCAGTTTAATGTCGATGTGGGAGAGAATTTAGTTTGCAGTTGGAAGTAAAAGCTGTTGGATTTTTTTAAAAGATTACTGAAGGAATTCATTTTCTTTAGTTTTTATAACATAAAACAAAGTAAACCAACTTGTTTTTATTATTTCCACATTTAATTATATTGGTGCTGTAAAAGTAATTCATAATAATAATGATGTAAAAAAAAAACAGTTTCACCATTAACTGAAGCTTAGTGTTGGAAAGGAGCTCAATTAATTCAATTATTATTATTTTTTTAATTTTGCAGTTTTGCTCACTTTCTAACTACAGTAAACAGAAAGTACACCCTCCTTTAATTCTAGAGTTTTAAGTAACAGGACAAAATAAAGTGATTTCATCTTTATTAGATTCAAAAATATTTGCATCAAACCTCAAGTTTAGAGAATCACACTAAAGATTAAATGACAGTAAACATACATCAAACTAAATAAAACCCCAATGGAAAGATGTGTGGAAAAACTAAATGCACTAAATGCACCCTTAAAATTGTTTTTATCTTGGCTTCATGTTTGTTTAATAAATAATGACAATTTGAAAGTCCGAAACATTGTCATTATATCCTTATATGGCAAACTTTATAGCTGTAGGAGGGTGTACTTACTTTTACCATGACAAAATGGTGGAGCAAACGTTTCAGCAGGTATCCAGACAGAGGAAACGTAACTACGCTCCATTTAGTCTGTTGGCAGTCCCTGCATTTCTGCATCTCTCCCCCTAGTGGCTGGAGGTTTCCTCTGTGACATCTGCTTCCAATATTGACAACAGTCGTCAATTTCCTCCTATTTTAAAAGCACTAAGCAAGAAAAATGAACTGATTACACAGAAAAATAATTAAAAAAACATTTAAATAGCAGCTCTTTAAAAAGGAATGATGACAAGTGACAGAAACAACAACAAGTTTTCCGTCATTCTCAGCAACCTGAAGTTAAATCTGAGCAAAAAAGAAAGTCCAACTCTATGGCCTCAAGCTGTGTATGTGTGAGCTCAGCGGGGGTCGGAGGTCAAAGGGCCATCTTCAGTCCGTCTGGCTGTGAGTGGGAAGAGTCTGGGAGCTGCGGGTGTTTTCCTGGAGGTGTCAGTCTGTCACCTACCCGCTTCACCTCGGAGCTCCAGCTCCTTCGACACCTTGGCGGCGATGTCTCTGAAGGCCAACGGCGCCCCCCACAGGCGCCTGAACTTCACGCCGCTCTGGCCCGGCCCGTTGGGCAGCTGGCAGACCTCGGCCTCAAAGGCCACGCGGGCTCCAGCTGCGCCGTGGGTGCAGGACAGGAGGAACGGGCCGGCCAGGTGGACCTGGCAGCCGCAGCCCTGCGCCGCCTCCCGCAGGGCCAGAACCACCTCGGCCGGGTCCCGGGGGCTCCGGACCCTCACATCCCATCCGCATCGGGGGGTCCGGGGCTCGGCCGCTTTTTGATGCCCAGATAGATGGCGACTAGTAGAGGGGAAAGAAATTAAAGAAATGGGAAAGAATGTGGTTGAAAAAATAGGAAGAAAGAAGAAAAAAAATTAAATCAGATTGTCCTGTTTCCTATGGGTGTCTTAAATTTAAAGGTGGCCTTTAATTCTTCCTTGAACATGTTAAGATAGCTCTAAACATGTTTTAAATAAAAAAAAACATGTTTTAAAAACATGTTAAAAACATGTTTTTGCCCCAAATCACTCTTGGATAATGAGATTTTTCTCTACTCAGTTCTGCCTATTTTGAGCTGTTTTAGGATCTTTCTCACTTTAAATCCAAATAAGCTGCAGCTGGCCACGCCCCCCCAACTCAAAGTTTACATTTGGACTTAAAAATGGCTTCAAACAGATGCGCAATTATACAACCGTACAGGTTTGAAAAGAAGAAGTGGAGCCTCCAGCACAGCCAACAAGAATGCAGTAAGTGGTTTCTGGATGGTAAGTCTACAACAAAACACTTATTTTCTAGCAGCCATTGTACAGCGCATACTGTGGCTAGCTAGCTAGCAAAAGTATATAAACAACTAGATAGCGATAGCCTCCACTGGGTTGAGTCACTTAAGTAATGAATGTCTGAAAAAGTAACATTATTAAGGCCAACTTACATTTAAAAAATTAATTTAAGATATTTTAAGGCCTTAATTTTAGATACACGAATTTAAGACCTTTTAAGGGGCACAGAAACAGTAATAATTGTTCACTTTAATATAAAATAATATAAAGCATATAGAGAAACACTCCTGTTAAAACATCAGGTTTAGTTTGACTTTCCTATTTTTTACGTGATCTGTACAATTTAAGTGAAAAAAACTCGTTTGACAGGAAAAAGTATCAAATGTTGATTTGTTTCTGTATGTTTTTCATATAAAAATGTCAGACTATCGATTAAAGTTTTCAAAGACATTATCTGCAAAGGAAAGAAGAATGGCTAAAGGGAAAGGAAGGAAATGAAAAGGTGCTTTAAAAAAGTATTGTGTGTGTGTGTAAACTTATTAAACAATATTGCTGCTGTTTGTTTACATTTTTACCCTCTGACAAATCAGGTAGCTTCTCATTTAAGTTGTATTGCATATTTCTCACTTTAAAATAAAAAAAATGTTTATAGTAGACAAATGTGACCTGTAACTGTGATGCTATCACAGTTTATACCCATCAGAACATCAAGATAAAATAAATGCAAATTCACAACAGTTCATCTACAATAGCACTAACAACAAAAAACCACACATTTTAAAACCCTTCTAAGGTGCAAATAGGATGCAAACATTTATCTTAGTTCTACCTGCAGGAATTATCACAACACACTCTACTTCACAGTCTGCATAGATTACATTGACCTGCCACTGTTTTACCTGCTGCTATTACCCTGAGACTGGGCTGGAGAGGCTGAGGCTGAGAGGAGCAAATGAGAGCTTCAGTAAGATAAACTACAAACTACCAGCCACAGATGTACAGGAAACATGTAACAGATGTAATCCTGCTGGATTCCTGTGAGCAGGATCTCACAGGAATTAATGCCTCAATTACAAAGATAGAGAAACAAGGAAAAAAACTGGAAAATGTCAGAGACAGGAAAGAGGAAAAATGAAAAGGGGAAAATAGAAAAAAATGGAAAACGGAAAAAAAAGAAGGATAGTAGGAGAAAAGGGATTTGAGAAAAAAAGTGAAAACTTACAAAAATAATTAAGGGGAAAAATGGGAAACGGACTAAAACAGAAAGAGAAAAATGCTAAAAAGGAAAGAAAAAAAGAATAAAATAAAAAGAAAGGAAAAAAGGAAAGAGGATAAAGTGGGATTTTTCTTGGCCGTATAGAAATTGGTTTATTTTGCAAAACTGCAGTGGCAACACCTTTTGGTGCATCACGGGTCACATGGTCAACAACCGGATGTTACAACTGGTGCAAAACACAAAGAAGACGAAGAAGAAAACAGGAAGCAGTTGGAGGATGATACTTTTCAATGACTTATCACATAAAAAACTTATTCAAATGTGATTTTAATTACTTTTCTCATGTAATGGAAACACTGCAATTGTGAAATTCTGTTTCTTAAAAATTAGCAGAATGCTCACAAAAGGTTTGAGCACATTTGCATTGGAAACGCAGCTTGTCAGATTTTCAACAAGCTGCGTCGCCCGGCCATAGATTTGGGTAAACCAACTTTACCCAAATCTATGTCAAACATGAAGATTTTAACAATTATCTGTAAGACAGACGAGATTCACTGCACTCACCTTGTGACCGGAGATCTGCTGATTCTCTCAGGTTGGTCTGTGACCCTCAAGAAGAAGAAGAACAAAACAATCTATTAGGAATCAACCAAATATCAATTCAACACATACCAATGTCCTCTAAACTTCCTCTATAACGCAGAACAACTCGGACCCTTAAAGCACAGATGGATCATCAGAACCCCCCGCTGCTCTGAAACACCAGATGAAACAACAACATGAATCAGGTGAGAAGTTTGGGTGGAGTGGGATGGAGTTTATACTGTAACAAAGGGATATCATCAAACAGTCAGTGTGTGTGTGTGTGTGTGTGTGTGTGTGTGTGTGTGTGTGTGTGTGTGTGTGTGTGTGTGTGTGTGTGTGTGTGTGTACTTGTTTTGCTACATATTGGGCCAACTGCCCAATACATTCACCGACTCCCTGAAGACCTTTATGTCTATGGGGACCAAAGGTTGGTGCTACTGTGGTAGCCCCCTATTTCGCTTGTAAGGGGTTCAGTTTAGAGGAAGAACGTAAATTAAGTTTTGGTTAAGGTTGGGTTAGACAAGGGGCCTGCAACCTATGCGACCTAAAGAGCCATTTTATTCGGAGAACAGCCACGAATGTCAAATGATGCCAATTGGAGCGGAGACCGCTCCAAAAGCAGGAAGCAGACTAAAGCACAGGGTATTCTGGGTAAATACAATGAAAACAGCGCTAATCCAGCGCTAGCAGGAGAAATGACTTGTGGTCTTTAGCCAAAGACAAAAGAGAACTCCTCTGACGCTACTCCAGTTTTATTTACATTTATTTACAATAAGGAAGATGGGCTCAGTGTCTTCTCAAACGTTTTTGTGTTACTTCCTTCAGTGGATCTTGGTGCAGCGCCCTTGCAGCCGAGGAGGGAAACAGGTTTTTCAAATGGTTTAGTCCGTTTGACAAACTGCAGTGTGACAAGCAGCAGCTAAAAATGTAATAAATTTTCCAATTTTGGTCCCAAAGCAAGCCAAGCTTACCGAACTATCAGGTGGGAAAACAAAGATGTGTCATTCTTTGTGAAAATCCAGTGCAAATAATTAAAAACTGTGAAAACTTCCAGTTGTTACTCTCTGTATATTTAAAAACATTGACTGATTTTATGTAATTTTTTTAACAAAAGCTATTAAGAGTCATTGTGGGAAGTTCAAAGAGCCGCAGGTTGCAGACCCCTGTGTTAGGGATAAACAGGTAACAGGTGGGGTTAGGGTTAGGCATAAATGAAGATACTAAAATGAATAGAAGTCATCTTAGTAGGTTTAAATGAGAACATGCTTCAATCAATTACATTTTCATAAATTGCCACATAATTAAGTAGCATGCACAGAAGCAATGAACTAGAGCGGAAGTTGTTGTTTCTCTCTTTACGTTGACTATGGTTAAGTGTGTTTTGATGTTGATTATTTTTTCTTTTGTTTGTTATAAGTCACTCCCTGAACAAAATGTCCCAATTCAGACAATTAAGTATCTATTGAAGTCAATACAAAGTCCTAATATGGATCAAAATACAAGCTTGAGACTGTGCATGAAAAGATGTTGACTGGAAATTAATCAACCATGAATCTAAATAGTAAAAATCTGAAAAGAGATTTTATCTGACAAATAGACTGAATAAATTTGGTGTTTAACAGTGTGATAAAAAGAAAATATGCACCATTGTATTATGATGATAAAATATAAATATACAACTATAAATATTTCTTCAAGTTTAAGTTCTTTAGAAAATCCTCTTTTTGTAACCAGTGTTGTTAACTTTACAGATTAAAAAAAGAAAATAAGCAAGTTACAAACAAGCCTGCACTTTTCATATGTGATCACTAGATGGTGCAAATGTTTGCTAATTTTCTTAAATTAAATTTGTGTTTTTTAAAGTTAGTTGGCACAAAGGTTTTTCTTATCAGCTGTTTTCTTATAACAGCAACAACTGCCTCATCTCTGCATTGTGTCACTAAATCAAAATAAAACCCAGACGATGTGTTCATGAAGACACTCTCTGCCTAAATAATCAATGATCAATAACTGTAATCTAAATAACTGCAGAAAATAAACAGGGAAGATCTTCAACAACCTTTAACGTCGAGGTGATGGAAATCAGAAGATTCTTGCTTTTTCTTCAAACTGATATTTGAAAAGATTCATTTATGTTCACTATTATCCTAAAAAATTAAAACAAAATGCTAGATCTGTCTTCTAAGTGGTTAAAAAGAAAGTACAAACAGGTTGTAACAAAAGTGGCCTCTAACAAGTGAAATAAAAAAGTAGAAAAGGAAAAACAAAGAGAGACGGAGAAGCTAATGGTGTCACCAGACAGCCTCATGTGTCTTAAGGAAGAGGTGTGTGTGATCCGTGTTTAACAGAAGGATAAATCCTGGTTATGTAACTAATCCTGATTTAAAGCAGCAGTGATGCCGGGTCAGTAAGTCAGGATGACTGCAACAGGCTCAGACGACTCTTACAAGCATCTGGTGCTGCAGAGAGCGCAGACATATGCTGCACGCTTTAAATGTCACAGGTTCAAGGCTGAAGACCTGCAGACGCAAATGCTTCCTCTCACTTCCCCACTGAAGCACACATGGTTAAAGGCTCCAGAAAACAGTCATTTTCTTGAGTTATTGGGGCTTTTTGAAAAAGAAAATCTAAAGTGAGAAAAATCTGAAGCCTAACAAAGAAACATCAAACAAACAAAAAAAGTATTAAGTATATTTTAGTATATATAAAAGAGATAAAAAGTTAAATGAAGTTGAAATTAGCTTTTCTATATGCTAAATACATTTGGAAATAAGAGACAGTCCATAATATTGCACCTTGAATGGATAAAGTGTTTTAAGTCACCATCTCTACATAAAATTACAACTAACCAAGCTACACTGTAACATTCACCATATGCTGAAACCTGAAACATGAACCAAACAGACCTGGTTCACTCCAAAACTCTGCAAAGATTATTCATCTAGTTGACGCCACATTTGGAAAAAAGAGGGGAATAAAAAGGAAGACGAGGGAAAAAACAGGGAACACAAGAAAAAAATGGTGAAAGAATATGGAAAAAGAGAAAATAAGGAAAAAAAAGGAAAAAGGAAGAAAGTAAAAGGGAAATAAGGGGAAAATAAAAGAAAAAAAGAGCAAAAGGAATAAAGATAAAAATGGAAACAAAAGAAAGAGTATTTGGAAAAAGGAAAAATAAAAAAGTAAAATACGATAAAAAACATGAAGGAAATTAAGAACAATAAGAAAAATAAAGGAAAAACTGACAAAATAGAATAAATAAATAAAAAGAATAAAAAGATCACAGCACAATTTATCTGTGATCAAGCTCCACTTCGAAATTCTCTTGGTAAGTTGGTAATCGTCCCTCTGGTTTCCCTGGCAATATCTAAACACATGATGCCGTTTCTATGACTAAGACCAAAACAGTTCAGTTGTTTCTGTCTCCTGATTAACTTTATACATCTAAGTCTGTTCTGACTCAACATTTAAATCCATCACTTAGTCAGAAGGAAACCTAACCCATGTAAACAAAAAAAAGAAAACATTACTGTACTAGGTTTTTTCTTGCAAGCTGATGGCTGCAGCATTTTCTTGTAATGCTGCAGCTCAAGCAGCATTTCAGCGCAGCATGAAACCGAGCCAGCAGAGACGCAGACAGACAGAGACAGAGACAGACAGACAGACAGCTCTGAGGTGAAGCTGTTCTACACGAAGAAACAACTAAAAATCAAGTTTCCTCACAGAAAAAACAACGGGAATGAAAAGTCAGAGCATGCCTTGAACGCAGCATGAAGAACTCAAACACTGAGTCACATTAAAGGTGAATAAGCTGGGATTAATGAACATTTCCAAAGATTAACAACATAAAGAAACATGACTGAATAAATGACATCGAGAAGCGACAACACAGCTTGGAAATACCACAGCACAACAGAATAACTGTTGATTATATATTTTAAAAAGTATTCAATTAATGATGTTAAAAGATTTAAGAAACTGACATTGTAAATGTTATTTTTACCATTTTCTCCACTGTTTGTTAAACTAGAGCATCAGTAAAGATCAGTACATTTAAAAATATGCAGCTAATTTTTGCAGTTTAGTGAAATAAATCACACTTCTTTAAGAAAGTGGCGCCCAGAGGAAGCAGATCCCAAATGGGAATGTTTTTCCCAAAACAATATTTGTGTTTGTGCTGCTGTGAATGCTGCTCCATGCAGTCACAGTCATACAATTACCTAAAAAGAGAAGTAATAAATTGTTTTTCATCATCATTTTTGACCTTATCACAATATTAACACAAAATATTGTGGTAAAATTATAAGTCCGTATCGCCCACCCCTATGCTTGTCAAAGAAGATGGCCGCTCTGGGAAACTATGGTAACCCAATGAGTGCATTGGTGGAAAAAACAACCTAATTTTCCAAAAATTTAATCTTCAATTATTGGAAAGATTTCAATCACCCAGAACTAGCTATAGTTGAACTAAAGCAGGGATTACACTTCCTGCATGTAAAGCAGCTTTACCTCAGGTCAAGGTTTGCACCACTGAACCCCAAGCTGCGACGGACAGCGGATGGAGGGAGGAGGGAGGACGACGGAGGCACTGGAGGGTGGGGCAGGCAGACAGACAGATGCAGCCAGAAAACATGGGAAAGGAAAACTTACTAACTGTTTTTGTCCCCTGTGGGAGGGTGCAGCCCGACACGGACTTGTTTGAGCTCGGACGTTTAGAAGGGTCAAGAGTGACCCTGCGAGGCAAGAGGAAGAGAAGATGAGAGGAACGGGAGGTTAGAGGCAGAAAGAAAGAGAGAAAAGCAAAGTGAAAGGGATAAAAGAATGAGAGTAGGAAGCAAAGGTAGAAGAATAAAATTTAAACAAAATGCAAAGAAAGGGCAGAAGATTGGCAGGTGTGATTGGTAAGAAAAGGCCCAAGTTGTTAAAGAAATCAAACAGATAAAGCAACAATAAGCAGCCAAGAACAACAGACCATAAGAAACATACAGTAAGTCAATCTGAGCTGCAGACCTGGGTCAAACTGTTTCTAGGTGATAGAAATAAAAATGTTTTATCAAATTTTACCCATGTCACAGTTTACATGAATTATGGGATATCAGTACAATTGTGCAAATTGAAATTACAAAAATAAATTTCCTTGTTTCAAATAAACTTGTTTTTCTATCAAAGAAAAATCTATTTTTAGGATTTTTCAAACCATCTCAGGTGTAAAGATTATTTAAATTCAAAGCTTTTGCACATTTTACTACACACTGTTAAAGCATAATATTTAATTCATTCAATTACACACATTTTTCTGCATATAGATCAAAATGGAATCGAGAATTTGACCAGTTACATATTTAAGATTTGCTATACTGTTATTAGACCCAGGTCTTGCATTAATGTGGGCAGAATTTGACTTGTTCTGGTTTAAAGGAAGGCTGGTAGGTTAGTACTGGTTAAGGAAAGGGCTGAAAGAGGCAGCAAGTTAGCTGTATGGCCTTTGTGCTGAGGTTTATAAATAAACTCAACTAACAAAAAGTGCTGTTACTGCAGAAATAATGAACAAAATTCAACTGTTAAAATATAAATGATTTTGAAAAAAGTTAATTTTAACCCCTTCAAGCTTCATTTTTATCAAAAGAGCAAAAAAACAAAAAACAAATTTTTTTTACTCTAATTCAGCATGAATTTTTTTTAAAATAATTACAAGCAGTTCAAGAAAGTCCGCATTTATGCTTATAAAAACATAAAAATAAAATGTGAGATAAAATAAACAGTGAAACCACAAACAAGCTGTAAAATGCTTGCAGATACTTTAATCTTTACAGAATGACACTAAATAGTTAAATGTTGGCTAATAAACCCCAGGCCTGATGTCCACTGAGATGGACACTCAACTGACAAAAATCCTGAAATTTAATGATGAAAAATATTTTCTAAATAACTTCAAATGCTGTAAGTATTTAAAATTATAAGAGCAGTTCCATGCGGCTGCCATGAACATAAACTTACATTTCTGATGGTAAATAGAAACTTCCTCCTCCTCTTTGCTAGTTTCAGATCAATGCTCGTACACTGCAAAAACTCAAAATCTTTCCACCTAGTTCTGGTCTAATTTCTAGTGCTAATATCGTAGAACACTTGAAATAAGACAAAACTAACAAAAAAACATTTCAGTAAGAAATAGCAGCTTATTGTAAGTCAATAATTATTGATGAAAAGGTTCTTGTTCCATTGGCAGATTATTTCACTTATAACCAGATATTTTCCCATGTTTTTAGTGAAATAATCTTCCAATGGAACTAGTAATTTTTCATCAATATTAATGAATTACTGACTTAGCACAATGGTGTCCAAACTTTTTGCACTGAGGGACGAAATCCCCAAGATGAAAGTCCTCAGGGGCCATTAAAAGACACAAAAAATCATATTGTGATATTCATCTTTCTTTACCTGCACACTAATAAACTGAACAAGTTAATTTTTATTTAACCAAAACCAACATTAGTATGAAATCTGCCTTAATGTTTTTATTTATTTTACTTTTTGAGCCAATTAATTTCTATTTTGCACTAAAAACTAGACCTAAAATAATTGGTAAAGTTTTGTGTTTTTGCAGTGTATTGTCTGATGCCAAAGACCAATATTGGTCAATAAGAAACTAGAATCATTCAAATGATCAAATTCCTATTTTTTCATTGATTTAAACCCAGAAACACATCTTGTCCATTCCAGTGGACATCAGGTCTGAAGAGGTAACTCTAAAATCAGATGCTCTCTACCTAATGTTTTCTACTGTGAACCTCAGCATCTCCTCTTACTTGCGGGTCAGCTTGGAGGTGATCTTGCTGAGCAGGTTGGATGGGGCCCGGCTCCTGACGTGGGGCAGTGGGCTGGTGTCGTGAGACAGCGTCGGGGACGCCGGCGGGGCGAGAGACGGAGGCCGACGGTCTCTGATCTGACCCCCGTGGAAAGTGCTCCTCACCGTGGATCCTCTGGAGAGACGGGATGACGGCGTGGCGGACGAGACGCCGGAGGCGCCGGCAATGCTGTGGGAGGAGGGGGAGGCCGGCGGCAGGCGGTGGGATAAGGTGCTGCAAGAAACACAAGAGCAGGCGGATCAAAATGCTTTACAGCATAAAAACATCATACAGTTAACTGGTGACTGTATGACATCACACATACAACAAGAAATAAACATTACATTTTGTCAAAATCATCAAGCAAATGCACATCAAATATGTTAGTCAATGTTCCAGTTATTATGTTTCAAAAGCAACTCTAAAGAATTTGTTGAATCTGGAACAAATTTCCAGAAAACTGCAAAACTGCTGAAACACTGAGTTCCTTTAAATCAATCGGTTAAGTTTTTTGTGCAGCACATGTCAGCAGCAAGGCAGCTCCACCCCTCTAGCTAATGATCAGCCCAATAGAAATTGAGTGTTTTAGATTAAAAAAAATACAAACTACTTAATTAAATGTTATGAAATATGCAGCAGTCGATGACAAAGGCAGCTGTCATCACTTTGAGAGGACAATTAAAACCCAAAACATTCAGAAAAGCATGAACATAAACAGAACGCCTCAACATAAAGGCAGAGCTAATTAAGTCTGACTGTGTGGTATCTGAGTTAAAAGAGAAGAAAAATTATTATTAATAATAATAATAAAAAACAAGATTTGTAGAAAATAAGGTTCAGATCCATAAGAGTCATAATTTCTTGCTTTAGATGTTTATTCACATCTAATTTCCTTCCTGTCAGTCAACACTTTACACTTTAACACACACACACACACACACACACACACACACACACACACACACACACACACACCGTGGCTCATTGGTGGCCTCAGGCTGCTTTTCATAACGCTCTAGATAACACCCTCACACAGAGTCCAGACCCATTAGACGAGTTCAGAATGAGAGCTGCCGCTGCAGAGCAGAATCGTTTAACGTCAATGAAACGCCGGCTGGTGATGACCAACAAGCACAAAGGGAAAATAAAGCTGCAGAAAACTAACAGGGCGGCTGATTTAAAGGAGACGCGTCAACTTCTAAACTGAAAGTTGATCAAATTTAACTTATAACTGCTAGTTTTCCAGCTTGTTTGTCCATTTTGATGGAAATTGAAGCTAAATGGTGATGAAGTTTATCCTTTCTAAGAAATAAAAGTTTCACTTCATCTGGTGACATCACCTGAGGCATAAATCTGACTTTTCCTCTCTTTTGAGTCCAAATTTGCCCTTCAGTTGTGCTTAGTTGTATTCTGAACAGCTGCAACAAAAAGTCTGAGGAATATGTGAGGCAATGAGAAACACATGGAGCTGACTTATGAAGAGAACCAAGGCAGACAGGAATCACTCTGAGTCGTCATGAAAACCACACAGAAATGTTGTGGCAAGCCCTGCTGAGGTCATAAACAACCATCAGAGTTAGGGCTGAAACGATTAGTCGTGATTAATCATTTATTGAAATAATTGTCAACGAATTTAGAAACTGGCGTCCACAGACTCAAAAAAGGCAATTTACTGAAAGAACATATTCAGATAAGAAAGAAAATCTTCTGTCTGTAAATATCTTCAGAACTCCTCTAGTGGCAGTTTCAGCTTCACCTGGTTTAAATTCTGCTATAATAATTTCCTATTAAACACCTTTTTTAATCCAATTAATAATCTGTTAATCCCAAAAATAATCAACAGGTCAACCCAACACTGTATTAATGTAAAGTCAAGCAGAAAGGTCGGAGCTTTTCACATGTTGACGTTGGAAATATGTTTTTTTCTGCAGATGCTAGGCCTGTCAAATCAATTAATCACACAATAAATTAAAACAAATTCAGTAATTTCACAGCAATTTATCTAAAAAACCTGGATGATAGAAGTTTTCAGTTTGGGGTTTTGGTCTCAACTATCCATTTTTTTTAAGTACAATCTTGTTTACAGAGAATTCATTTAGTTGTTTATTTTAAAATGTCTTAAAGTGTTAAATGCTCATTAGAATCTAAATTGGCATAACATCTTTGAGAATGTTTTGCCATTACTTGAAAATGCTCTCAAAACAATATTATCGTTTATCGTAAAAACTTCTGGGACAATTTATCGTCCAGAAAAGTTTGTCATTGTGTCAAGAGCAGCTGATGCATCTTTTGCTGCAAATGACGAACGATTCACTAAAGGAATGCTGTTGTTGAATTTTAGGCAATTAAATATTTTTCTTATTTTAAAAAGGAATTGAATTATTTTTATTTTTTTCACGTTGTATAAAATATGTTTTATTGAATAACTGCAGGACGTTGCAATGTTTTTATCTGACTAATCGATTAATCGTCAGTATTTCTGCTGTTATTTGCACAGTTTTTATTGTAAATACTGTTTTTTTCCACTGCACAAATGAAGATGAGCATTTTTAGCTCTGGAAGCATCTGTCTCTGATCTGAGGATGTGAGGATCGGCCCGGCGAGCCATGTGGAGCGGCGTCACATTGACGAGGTCTCTGGGACAGCAGCAGGGTCACGTCAGGACACGTCGACTCCTTTCCCTTCACATTTCCTCTTTCTGTCTCGCTTCCTCCAACATCACCCCATGAATCGTAATGCCAAGACAAAAAAGCTGTGGTTTCTGTAATACCCGAATCCAACAGCAAGTGGTGGAGGAAGAAAGACAGAAAAACTAAAAAATGTTCTCCTGAAGTGATCTTCTGTTCCTCCCACCGCCATCAGGAAGAGACATGGGGGGAAGATCCTCCTCCTCCAAATATGACTTATAAACACTAATCTTACAGCTAAACTCAAAATTCACTCAGCGTTGCAGCAATGGGGAACATGACTCAGCTAAAAATATGATCTATAAATATAATTAGGGACTGAATTAAAGTTTTTAACTGAGCTAATTGCAGAGTCTGTAATCAGTTAAGATAAGATAATCCTTTAGTAGTTCAACACGTCAGAAATTTAAGCTCAGAATAAAAGAAAAAACAGTACAGTACTTCTAATTAAATGTTTTTTAGGAATTTAGATTGAACAAATTTATTTTCAGAATAAGAACTGGATCTGGGTCACTTTCTTCCAGAACTCCTGCCAGTATTTAGACAAGTTTAATTAATTGGATAAAAGCTGATTTGGGTGCAGCAAAGTCGGCTTTTCAGTGAAAGTCTCTGGATCAACATGGTTCTTCTTCTTATAAAAGCTTGTTTATAAAAATACAGATACTTTGGGCTGTACTTTAAATTTTTTCATTATTAGAAAATTATGTTGTTAATGATTTTTACCCTCATGACAAATAAAAACTCTCCATCGGCAATAAGCCTGTGTGCTGGACAGGTCAGCTTGGGGCCGCACAAAGTCAGTCCAAGGGCCACAAACGGCCCCTGCGCCGTACTTTGGACACCCATGAGCTAAAATGGTTGGAACTTGGATGTCCCAGTAAAACAAATTATCCCAAGCTCAGTTTAGAACGGATACAAACGACCAAATGTCCGGAAAACGCAAACAGCGTTTAAGTGGAATCCAGGATAAAAATGGAGTCTCACTGAATGTTTGAACAGCGAGAGGAAGTCGGAGAGCCCAGAGGTAATCAGTGAACGCACCGGGAGGCCGAAGGTTTTACCTGTTTTCTTTGCCGTTTTGCAGCAGCGATGGTCTGTCGGCGCCGGACCGGTCCGTACACACGTACGTGTTCCTGCGAGTCATGGCACTGGCAGGGATGTTGTTCTGGAGCAAAGTGTAAACAAAAACAAAATTTCACAAAAACGAACCTATTAGGTCTGGCAATAACTAACGATTATTTCAGTAATCAATTATTCTGACGATTAATCAATTAATCAGAAATTCTGCAGATTTTTCATTTATTCGCTGAAACGTTTCGCTGTTTCTGCAGAACAAACATCAGCACAGTGCAGGGCTGATAACTGGTCAGCCAATTATCACAGGCTCCCAGTAAAAAGGAGCTTAATGTAAAAAGCAGTAAAAAGCCTAAGTTTTTTTAACATTTATATCTTTGTGCAGTTTTGGTTTAATTACGGCTCTGATTGTGTTGTTTTCTCAGCAGCCTATATGCTCCATTTAACGATTAATCAATTACTAAATTGGTTGACAATTATCAATTATGAATCACGATTAATCTAATGGTTATTGATGAGATCAGCAGAGTTTACCAGGATGTACCTTTTCAGTATTAGGTACCTAAAGAAATTCACCCTCATGTGGTTTTTATAACAAATCGATTAATCTGATTAATCAAAGCCAGGAAATATCTCTAAAGTTTATCTGAGAGTCTGGAGGCTGCTGCTTTCCAGTCTGATGGTTGCAAACCTCTGCTGTGCAAAATACCCAGCAGTTCATCTCAGGCTAAACTGATATATATTCAATTGATAAACCTCCAAATTAGTAAATCTGCTCTAAAATGCTGTAATCTGGGGAAACTGGATTATGAGGCCTTACCACAGTCGAATTGACCTCCTTGCGTCTGTTGGGGATCTCTGCTTTATTGGGGTTGTGGGCGGAGCTAACCATGGGACTGGACGGGGTTGGGATGCTACGGGAGCCCACAGTGGAGCCGCTCGGCTTGCGCACGGAGAGCCGCTCTTCTTTGAGGGCCGCCGCCTCGCCCACACCGCTGGGGCTCCGTTTGGGGTGAGCCGACCCGGGAGCAGCTGGACCGCCTAACGGAGGAAAACCATTTACCTACAAATATCACCTTAAAACACATTCAAACTCAAGGCCCAGGGGCCAAATCCGGCACGCCATAACTTATTATGTGGCCCTCTGGCCTCCAGAGAGCCTTCAAGAAAACAGCCGAGTCCTTAAATATTATTTTATCAATCAAATAGAAACAGTTTTTATCTAAATGGTGCCAAATTGTAACAATCAGTCTTTAAAGTTTTTTTTTTTTTTTTGTGATTGTGGAGATTCAAGCAAAAATCAACAGATCGCTGCACTTCTTCAAGCTAATGTACAATTGTGAGTTTATTGCATATTTTACACCAACATTTTCAGACATTGTGTTTAAATGACCAACTCCAACCTGCAGGTGGCAGTATTTCATACTTCTGCTGCCTCAGGCAGTCGTATGGACTGCGATCAATATGATGAGTAAAAAAAGCCACAATTACAGTTCAAATTTTGAAGCACTTTGAATTGCCTTGTTGCTGAAAATGAGCAATATAAATAAAATTACCTTACCTTCAAATATCGCTACATTTCTTGAGAATATTTAATTATTACCACAATCATTCATGTTTTAGATTGTGAAAAAATCACAAAAACAATGAAAAATTTTGGGACTGATCAATGTAACAAGATATTCAATATTCAATTTTAAGAAGTTCATCAATTGGTTTTTGAAAACATTCATGATCTTTAAGTCACCAAAACGAAGATGAGTTTGACACGCCGCCTCCTTATTGAGATGTTGGGCGTTAGGCTTACAGAAGTCGGAGTGTCGTCTCTGGCGGTGGTACGTCGAGGCGCTTCGCTGAGGCTTGTGACCGGAGGAGGAAGACTGAGCGCCGGAGGAGGAAGAGGAGGTGGAGTGTTTGCTCATCCCGTTGGTGATGGCGCTGGGCCGGATGCGAGCGAGACTCAGGCTGCTGGCCGACCGAGACTCGGCGACGTCCGTCTGAAAGGCGAAACGACAACATGAGCGCGGATGATCGTCTGTCACTACGTTAGGTCCAGGCCATGTAACCATAGAAACGCTGCCTTTGTATTTATGAATCCATTTCATTATTTCTTTTGTTAAATTTTCTCCTCCCCCTCATTTGAATACAAGAACATGAAATATAAGTGAAATAAAAATGTCACAAAATAAAACAACATTAGGAAATAAATAAAACTGATTTAAAAAATAAGTTTAAAAATAAGTGTTTTTTCTTTTTTCCACAGGGACATTTATTTATTTAATGGAGTATTTATTAACTATTTGTTAACAACAGTAATTATTTAAGCCTGAATGAATCACTATAGCTTTCTATATTAAGCTTATTTATGTTTCTTATTTTACCAGGGATGAAAATAACTAATATAAAAATTCACTTAAAGTACTCCAACTATTAAAAAGGAAACATTAATGTTTGATTGTCTTCACAGTAGAGAATCTAGGAGTTAGTCAAACATATTTACAGTACATAAAATGCACAGAATAAAACTTTGTTAAAAAGTTAAATACAAACTAAGTCAAGTTTCAAGTAGATTTAAATACATTTTCCCTCCAAAATGCCATCATGTCGATTATTAAACTAACACAACGCTCCGGGAGATGCGATCATGATGCCATAATTAATATATTCTACTGATTAGCCAAAGAAGACAAAAGAGAACAGAGAAACACTCCACCTCTGTCTTGCGTCCCAGCAGCAGGTACATGGCAGTGATCTCGTTGTATTTGTGTTTAACCAGCGACTCTCGAACCTCCTCTCTGTCGAATCCCATCCCTACGATCACATCTGCAAGAAATCAAACAGGGATGAATCTCTGAAGATGCATTTCTTCATTTAACGCTGCAGCCAAAGTCTCGATCAGCAAAAAACACTAAATGAAAGATGAAAATCAAAACTTCCTTCTCGGTCTCAGGTTCCCTCCTCACTTTCTGTTTCAAAATGTCTCTAATTTCCTTGTTTCTCAGCTGCTTTGTAGTCAAAAACATCTACTGAGATACATTTCCAGAAGGTTTAAGCATTAAAAACAACCTGGCTGTGCAAAAGCCCATTTTATCACCTGAAAGTTGCGACAGCAAAGCTAATAAAAATAAAACTCGTCTCACCGATGCGGCCGCTGTCGCTGAAGTCCTCCTCAGGCTCAACATGGGGCTTCAGCTCGGCGCCTTCGTAACCAACGTTAATCCACTTATCTTTCATTATTTGCTGATGGCCAGACAGAGAAAAAGGATTTTACTAAAAAAACAAAAGAAGCCACTCCAGCAGAAAGCAGGTAATGTAGTCTCCCAGTTCCAAACAGCAGCTCAGGGAAATTTACTCCACTAAACATGGGCACAAGTAGCAGCAAACTTGTTCAGGGTATAACTGACAGATAAATTTTACTTTCTGGTTCTTGGTTGCCCCGCCCCTTTCTGATGACACCCTGGGTAACCGCCCACATCAACAACCGCCACTAAATGCACATTTTCATAAAATCTTTTATTGTCCCAAAACAAACATGTCTGGAGATTCTCAGCTTTCCAGGTTTTTATATTCAGGAAGGTTTAAAGGAAGCCATTTTGTTTTAAACTTTAATTTAGAAACTCCTCATTCAACCTCCAACCTGCAGGTGGCAGTATTTCTCACTTCTGCTGCCTTAACCTTACTTGATGTCAAGTAAGGCAGAGACAGTTATATTGACTGATCAACATAGTCAGTAAGACAAAAGTCACAAATACTGCTACACAGAAGCTCAAATACAGTAAAAATGTTCAACTTCTGTTGCATAAAACTTTCATCTTCCACTGCTGTTCGTTGCCCATAATGCACTGCTGCGAACTAGCTAACCCTGCTCTGGAGAGAGGCTCTTTGGGCAAAATAAGTAGTTCAATTAACCTGCATTATGTAATTTTAAAACGTTAAAATTTTCGTATTAACTGCAAGCTCTAACGCGTTAATGTTGACAGCCGTAAATATTAAATAAATCTGCCCTTTGAGAACATTCATGATAATAAAATGAGTTTGACCCCCTTAGTTAGAGAAAGCTAAAGTAAGTGCACCCCTCTCTCTCTGCCTGCTGACTGGATCAATTTGCTTCAGTTTGATTGTGATGTTTCAGTTCTATGGCATTTTTATGTTTTTATGATGTCAAGCACTTTGAACAGCCTTATTGCTGAAATACAAATAACCTTGATAGGTTGATCACAGTTTCCTGTTTACCTCCAGGGAGCAGCGCTTGGCGGGGTTCAGGACCAGGAAGCGGCGCAGGATTCCCTCACAGTCTGTGGACATGTAGAAGGGAACGCGGTACTTCCCTCGTAAAACCCGCTCCCGAAGCTCCTGAGCACAGAAACGCAAACATCCATGAATTTAGGCGTTTATCCTGTAGATGTAAAGTTTGGGCGTACCTTCAGGTTCTGGCCGTCGAACGGCAGCGACCCGCTGACCAGCGTGTACAGGATGACGCCCAGGCTCCAGATGTCCACCTCTGGGCCGTCGTACTTCTTCCCCTGGAAAAGCTCCGGCGCGGCGTACGGCGGCGACCCGCAGAAGGTGTCCAGCTTGTTGCCTTCAGTGAACTCGTTGCTGAAGCCGAAGTCGGCGATTTTAATGTTGGAGTCGGCGTCGAGCAGCAGGTTCTCCGCCTGCAGGACACAACAGAGACGGAACGTTCCAATCCTCACTTTGTTAGCTTCAGCTAACGAAAAGAACGTGTCACACTGAAGGCCAGGGGGCCAAATCCGGCCCACCATAACGCTTTATTAAAAATGCCAACTTTGCTTTAAATTATCATAATTTTAAAAAATCATACAAAGTTGGCATTTTTAATGGACTTTCAATGCAACTTTTAGAGCAACTTTGTATTAAAAGTGTCATTATTTACCGAATGACACTTCATGACAGCTGTTATGTCAGTCTTATGCACAGCCCTTCAAATAAAGTGTTACCTGTATAATTGTGAGCTGATTGCAAATTTTAAATTTCCAATTTCCTGCAGGAATTATTTCTTCTTATTTTTTTTATTATTATTTTATTATTACCTTATTATTATTTCTTATTCCTCAGCCTTACTTGAGGCAGCAGCTGATCATATTGACTGTGATCAATGTACCGAGTAAAAAAATAAAATAAAAATCCCAATTACCGTCACACATAGGCTAAAATATCACAAAAGACATTAAACTGACCTTCAAGTCTCTGTGAACAATATTCTTCTGGTGACAGTAGTGAACAGCAGAAACAATCTGAGGAGAAACAGAGGAAACAAGAAGCTCATTTGGCACAAATAAATCAATAAAAAGTGACTCTAAAACAATTAAAGTAAAACCAATAAGTTCCAGTTTTGATTTTAGTTCAATATCACAGGATTGATGCAGATTTTCCAGTTCAAAATATAATTTTCGTTGACTCTTTTCAATTGATTTAAAAAGAAAATAAAAGTTTCCAAGATAAAGATTAGGGTGATGGTAAGGAGGCTTTCCACCCTCAAAGACTTGGAGCTGAATAAGGAACAAAGTCTTTAAAAATCAAAACATTTTCCACACTGAATCTTCTGTTATCCAGCTTTATAAGTGCAGAAATGAAAACTCGTGTTTTTTTCCGTCTTTCTGCATCAGGAACATTGAAATGCAGAGTTCAGCTCCACTGTAACCAGCCAGGAAACGGATGCAGACCATGGTTTGCTGCTGGACTCACCTGTCTGAATTTGGCTCTGGCCTCTTTCTCTTTCATTCTGCCATGAGCCACGAGGTAGTCGAACACTTCGCCTGCAGAAACATTAAAAACAAAACACTCAAACTGTCACTGTGCAGACCTCATTCAATTCTAGGGTTTGGCATATTAAGACGAAAGTGGATCTGCCAGGTGGATCTCTTGTTAAATATCAGCGACTTTTTT